AAGTGTAATTATATGCGTATATGTTGTGAGTGAGTTTAGTGTATATAAAAATGTATAAATATAAATGAAAAAGAAAACGCGAGTAGGCGGCTAAGGGTCAGGAGGAGGTGTGGGAGAGGGAAAACTCAATGGTAGGAATTTCTTGTTTAGATTATTTATACATTTATCGTGTTATTTTTGTAAAAATCATTACCGGAAACGATGCGTTTTAATAAAATACTGATAAAAAATAATGGAGAGGTTTCACGTGTTATCATATATTGACATCATGCTATTAACTAAACGAATGACGTTTTTGTGTGTGCATATCTTTATATAAATATGCATATACGTAGATAATTATAAATTCTTCGTAAATCGATTAAAACGGTCGGTTTAAAAATGTGATCAAGTTTAAATGTAATCGACCCACGAGAATTCCGATTTGTTTCTTGGAATATGGATATATATATATATATATAGTTACGTTGTAAACACGCGTATCAAATATATAAAAACATATATATATGTTTATATGTTTAAATATAAATTGACTCGGTTATATCAGTGTGCAAGCTAATAATAATCTCATTTATTATTATTTTTTTTTGTAAATACTTCAAAATTGACTTCGTTTTAAAATTTCACATGTGTCGTGTGTGTATATGTAGTACGTGCGTTACTCACAATACGTTCGTTAAATTCTTCATACACGCGTGTAAAAAAAGAAAAAAAGGCAGCAAAAAATTCCTATTCATCCAAATCGTTTTTCAAATAAAACGAGGAAGTCAAACGAAAAAGTAAACATTTGGGTTGGTCGTATCGTTCGAAACGTCACGATCCATTCAAAAGCTTGCAATCGTACTTGTATGTGTGTATGTGTGTATTTACACACCCATGCAAATCGCATCATGTAATGTATATTCTATTTTTAATCGACTTTTCAACACTACTTTCCTACCCCCCTTTTCCCCTTATCTTACTGTTTATTAAGTTCAAGGATTTTCTTTCTTACAACAATAACAAAAAATAAATACGCAATTAATTTAAATTACGTTGTATAAAACTCGATTTGAATTTCTTTAATTTGTTCGTGGTGTTTGCTGGTTGTGCCAAGTGCTGTTGTCTTCTATTTAGTAATTTCTAGTACAAAACTAAGAACTATACAGATATTACTAGAAACTACTCGAACTTTGGGTATCATTGGACATCCACTTTGAATATTATCAATGCTGAATGTTTTTATAATAATATTAGATTACAATGGCTTATAATAAGTACAAAAATGAAAGTAAAATTTGACTAATTGTTTTTTATTTGGTTGTTGACATTAGATTTTTAATAGGAGTACTCAACTTTTTTGTCATTACACGAGCCGCCAATTGAAAATCGATAACAAAACGAATGATTAAAATGCCGCAAGTTGAGTATGGTTGGTTTATACGATGTATATGTATATATGTTGTGTATGAGCGATAAGAGAAAAATGAGAATATTTTGAGTTTGACTAATATGATGACATCAGAGACCACCCTCCGTTTAGATAGAAGGACAAACAAACTCTGTTCAAGATTTGTTGTTTTTTTTCTTTTTATTGTCGAATGAACTTTGACCAGATATGGATAAAGATCAAAATATTTCTAAATATCTATGAAAATGGGGAAAATGATATGTTGCTAAGAAAAAAATGAAGTAATGATAGAAAGAAAATTTTGAATCCTGAGAAAAAGAAATAACTTCAAAAAATTAACAAAACACCTAATCTTTTCCAAGATATCGTGGAAATAATTTAGAATAAAATGTTAAAATTTATAATAATTTAATAGTATTTTGAAACGCGTTATTAACCACTTGAGTACTGAATTATTTGAAGATTTTGATGCATATATAACGAATTTAATTTGTATTATACGTAAAATTAATACTTTAATTACAATTAATATAATTAATAATTTTTTTTACTTATATACAATTATTTTATATACTTTAATACTATTAGTAATTTAATTTGTATTTGTAATATATGGATTAATATGTAAAAGTAATACATTTTATTTGGAATATATTTATATTGGTGATATAAATATATATTTTGCAACAACATTTCAATTACAAAATATAAATAAATATATAAATAGAAATATTTCTTAAATATTTTATTTCTTAAATTCAGATGACGAGTCTCATTCGTTAAATGTATTTAAAAGGTTAAGCACATAAACGAATAGAAAAGAATTTTATTCAATTTTCGATTTATTCACGTATATCGAATTTGCAATTTGCATATTAATAACATGCATTAAAGTTAGGTGTACTATGAGCAAAAAGAAATCAAAACAAAAAGAAAAGAAAGAGGCTTCGATAACTCGGAAATCTTTTGAATAAATTCAGCGGAAGTCGCTCGTCTACTAGTATTCTATCGCAAGAGAGATTACTCTCGGCTAATCGTTAATTCGTGTGCTCCGATAGAAAGCGTGAAATTGACTGAATGGAAAGTCATCGTCAAGAGCTCTCTTTCACCAGCATATATAATATTAACTGGTATATGTTCTCTATGCACCGAGAGAAATGAATTGTGAAATGCATTTTTTTTTTTTTTCAAAAAGTCAATTGGATTTGAAAATATTTTTTATTTTATTTTATTTTCTAATTCTCATAAATTCCATCCCTTGTTACCCACTTCACACCTCAGAATAAAATCTACCAGTGATAATATTTTTATTAATAATTTCAATATGTTACTTTTATTTATTTCATAGAGAAAAATATTGGCAAAATAATAATAATAATAATAATAATAATAATAATACGAAACAAGGTTGCATCGGTTCAGTGACAGATTGTCTTATCGCATAATGACACGTTACTATAAATGCTGGTTAAAAATATTCTCGAAATACTGACCTTATATAGCAGAAATATTGAAATGAGATTCAAAAGATAGAGAAAAAGAAGAAGAAGAAAAAAGAAATTATGATGGGGTTCCGTTTAATAGTTTAATATCGAGTGTGACCCACCCCACACCCTCCCCCTTTCCCCTATAGTTTCGATTGAGAGTTGTTTGGTAATGCGTGTAAAGTTTCGGGTTGTACGTGTGCGAACCTAAATCGAGCCACTTATCGTCCGTTATCATTATCGTTCGTTCGAAATAATGAATGGGTTAAAATTCTCGATGTTGTATTCTTTTATTTTTACGTTAGCCTTCGCATGATTTCGTTTTCTGATAAAAGAGAGGAGGAGTAGGAGAAGGAGGCGGTGGCGGCACGTGCTTTCTTTCTCTCTCGTAACTTTCTTCCCTCAAGCGAGATAAATGTTTCTCTTTTTCTCTCTTAAAGGATTTGTACGCATAATAACACAAACTGTAGTTTGCCTTTCGATACTATCTTTTTCCGAGTTCATTAATCATAATATAATAAACCTTAGAAAGTAAACTGTGTGTCGTGGTATTAGAAATTTTCCTTTGAGATCGATAGGCGTTGTGTGTTGTTGTTGGTTGTGTTATTTGTTTTTTTTTTTTTTTTTTTTTTGAAGAAATTGGTAAAAAAAAATTGATTTTCTTTTATGTAAAAAAATACAATTAATCAAAATGTTTATAGCAGCATAGAATACAATGCCGTTTGAGTTAACTCGAGCGTGCAACTTAAGGGGTTAACTAAAAACAACGAATCTAATAAAAAATAATTCAATCGTTTTCAACTTAATTTCGATGATATTTATAACATAATTCGCACTTTGGGATTTTTTAAATCAAATTCTTATTAATTATCTATCGAGAGTTCGTAAATATCGTATGGAATCAACGAAATACGTTTGAAGATCGTAGGATAAGAGATCACAGGAGATAGGAACTGATCTAATCAACCACGTGTTAAACGCGTGTTATTATCCGTCTCTCTAGACATTAAACGTGACACATCATCTCTACTTGTTTTATTTACTTGTACCACCAACTGCATACATGCATACATGCATGCATGCATGCATGCATTCCATCTTTTGATATTTCATATAATCTGATAATCCTTCAAACTCGTTTACGTCCAGTGTAAAATAAAAAAAACAATAAATTAGAAATATTACATTCGAGTTTTATGAATATAATAAAAATAATGAGAACAACAAAAAATTGTCGGCAAATTCTTCTTTTATTCTAGAAAACGAGACGAGTATCTTGCAAGAAGATTTGCATTAGGCCGGTTATGACAACCCTTCCCATACCATTCTTTCCTTGGACACTTAGGATTTAACTGTTTTATACTTTTGACGTCTAGTTTAGCTCTTCGTATTACAAGGAATATATACAAACACACTCACACACATACAAATATATTATACGTCATTTTCCATGATGTTAAAAATTACGAGGGACTCTTACGAGGATACGCTATCATAAATTCAATCCGTTTATCTCGCTTAAGAACGTTGCTCTTTTGAGTTCACTGTCTGGATTTGTGTCACATTTGCTTGAATAATAATAATAATAATAATAATAAAAATAATAATAATTTTATTATTATTGTTATTATATCATTATTTTTATTATTATTAGTTTATATGACAAATTTTATAATATTCGTATGTGTCAACGTGTGTGGTTTACGTTGTTAGGTCTAGACAGAAATAATTCAATTTGGAATAACGTTAAATTAACTATAGAGCTTTTACCTAAATATATATATATCTTGTATATGAATATAAATTCTCGATCGTTCAGCCTTCCATTCGCATCCAGCTTTCACCGAGACTCATTTCGAGAGCAATTAACGATACGGCGCGCTTTACCGGGAAGTGATGTATAATAAATTACGTTATAACGCACGTGAAAGATTAATCCACAGGTGTTAAACCATTTGATTACGTTGCGCTTTGGCTACCGAATAACTATCGGCACTTTGTTAATGAAATTATTTATATGTTTTCAAAATGTGAAAGAAAAAAAAACAAAACTCTTGTGTTCGCTTTTTCCTAAATGAAAATGAAAATGTTTCGATTTATATTTTTCATGATATTTTTTCTTTCAGATGAATAAATCGTTCGTTAAGATCGATAATGAGGTCAAAAAAGTACTTCATCTTCAATAAGAAGCTACTTTAAAAGTGTATTAAAATATAATACGAGGGAATAATATCAAATAAAGAAAGTGTTGTGGTGTATGTGTCCGGTGTCAAGAAGAAAGAAAGAGAAAAGGAGAGAGAGAGAGGGGTACTTGAAATTTCGTAAAAAAGGGTTGGATGTTGCTGACGAGATTTCTGCGGTCCTATCGGAGTAGAATTGCACCGGTAGAAGTTGTAGATAGACACCTTCCAGCGAGAGAACGATTAGTCGTTCACGACGATAGGAGGAGGAGGAAGAAGAAAAGAAGGAGAAGGAGGAGGAAAAGGAAGGAGGAGGAGCTGCAGCAGCAGCACCACGTTCGAGAGGAGAGGAAGAAGAGAGCGCAAAAGCGAAGTTGAAAGTGTGTGTTGGGAGGGGAGAAGCAAGAAAACTGTGTTCACGAGAGATATAGAGAGAATCTTGGAGCCAGCAGAAGCAAAATAAGCACCAACGGTAGCAAGCAGCCTTGGTGGTGGTGTCCATGAGACAAGAAGATGAGAAGAAGGATGAAGCTGCTGCTCGTGCTACTCTGCGTTGTCCTGGCGCCTCTGGCGATGTGCCAGCAACAAAAGAGAATAACGTCCAAGTCGTCGCCGGTAGCTTTTATAAAGTATCCAGAAAATACAGCTATGGGCACCTACGAGGATGATTTCGTCGAAAGGATAAACAAATTCGATGAATTGTCGGAAGATTTATCCAACTTGGCTGTTTATAGGAATACCAGGGCCATCGATGACAATAGGTACACACACATCTACGTAATTTACATTTAGGAATGATATTTGTTTTGTTTTTCAATCTAATTCAATTTGGAGAAGGATTTTTGATGATTGTGATTTACAGGTCAGTAGACAGCATCGATGGTTCGAACAAAAGCTATCAACATTCCTCGCATTATCCGAGATCAAGGACTAAATCTAGCGAGGAGATACGAGAGAAAACACGAAGATCTAAGAATGTAACAATAGGAGATGGTATATGTCAGAGCATCGATATTAGGAACAACGTTCATAATTTTGCGATACTACAAGGTTGTCGCGTGATCGAGGGCTTCCTACAGATTGTTCTGATCGAGAATCATACAGGATCAGATTTTGAAAACGTTAGCTTTCCAGATCTAAGAGAGATTACTGGTTATTTTCTGCTTTATCGCGTTTACGGATTGAAGAGCCTTGGAACTCTATTTCCGAATCTCGAGACCATCAGAGGAGATATACTGCTTACGGATTATGCATTTATGGTGTACGAGATGCAAAACCTGCAGGAGGTGAGATTGCAGATTTTTTTCTCATTTCGTTTTAACCGTTAGATCCTGGTGCTTGGATGATTGATAATGTTCATGGATAATTTACCGCAAGGCAAGGCCACCGCATTAGATTCTACCTTATTCGTTTAAATGTTACGTCGTGGTGTGGTGTACGATGAGTCAGTCAGTAGAGTGTTAGTAGTAGTAGTAGTAGTCATATTTGTCGCACGAGATCAATCGTGATCGTCATTCCCACGGCAAAGCAAAGCTGATTTTGCCGGTTCGAAGGTTCGTTTCAATTTACATCAAAGAGGTACCGGTTAATAGGCGGGTCAAGTGGTGGGTTAATCGGTTAATTAAATTGACCGATAGGTTTGGTCTTTGACTGTCAAGATCATTTTTAATATGTTTTTATCTTATCGAACTTACAGATCGGCTTAACAAAACTGACGAAGATTGCAAGAGGTGGGGTAAGAATTGAAAAAAATTCAGCCTTGTGTTATACCAATACATTAAATTGGAACGTTATAGTCACGGCTGGAGATAATTTTATCAAGGACAATAACAATGAAAGTTCATGCCCTGGTTGCTCTTCTCAGTGTTCTGATGGTCATTGTTGGACCGCACAACATTGTCAAGTAACTGAAAAACCAAAGTGTCATGATCAGTGTCTTGGAGAATGCAATGGCGAAACGGATAGAGATTGTTACGTTTGTAAACACTATAGGCATGAAGGAAAATGCGTTGAGAGTTGTCCAAGTCATTTGTAAGTCACGTTTGAAGATAAATCCTCGTCAAGAATAATCCATGTTACGTAATATTCGTGTTAAGTAAACGATAATAACCGTCTACTTCTTCTGTGTTTTTAGATATGCCTATATATCAAGAAGATGTATTACTGAATTAGCATGTATAAGAATGAATAACTTGAGGAAAATATGGAGACTCGAAGATGAACAAAAATGGCGACCCTTTAACGGTTCTTGCATCACTCAGTGTCCCGAGGGATACGAGGATCATGTCGATGAAAATAACGTATGAATATTCAATATGATTATTTGTATCTTATTTTTAAAGTCCCAGTAATAATAATAATAATACTTATACAAAATTAATTTATTTCGTTTAGGTTACCACCTGTCAAGTTTGCAAGGCACGATGTCGTAAAATAGGTCATAGTGCTATAATAAGGCACATCTCGGATGCTCAAATATTTCGAGGGACGACTGTAGTAGACGGGGCTTTGGAATTCCAAATAAGAAATGGTAATCCAAACATCATGCGAGAACTGACTGAAGCTTTTGGTTTGATAGAAGAGATCACAGAGTATCTGAAAGTGACTCACTCCTTTCCAATAACATCATTGGGCTTCTTCAAAAAACTCCGAGTTATCAAAGGTAAAAGATTGGACATAAACAATGCGAGTTTAGTCGTATTGGACAATCCAAATCTTTCGAATCTCTTTCCGTCGACGCAGAAGATCGATATTGAAAATGGAAGATTGTTCTTTCATTACAATCCTAGACTTTGTATGTACAAGATCATAGAATTCAGTAAAATGGTAAAGATAACAGACTTTAGCGATCTCGAGGTGCAACCAGATTCTAATGGAGAAAAGGTAGCTTGTAGTGTAGTCAACATAAATATCACGGTTAAAGAAAAAGGCCCGAATTATATCGATTTGATTTGGGATAGTTATGAGCCACCTATAGGACAACAATTGTTAAGTTATATTTTGAGTTACATGGAAACCGAAAATGAAAACATCACTTACGAAGGGAATTCTTGTAGTAATAATACTTGGCAAATGCTTGATGTAGACATACCCAATGGAAATTCTTTATTTCAGAAGACAGTAACCAAACATATTTCGGGTTTGAAGCCGTACACGAAATATGCCGTTTACGTAAAGACTTTTTCTATGAGAAACGAAAGTTTTTTACTTTCGTCTAGTAGTCCCGTAGGTCAGTCGAAGATAATATTTTTCAGAACGAGCAGTGACATACCTTCTATGCCTACCGACGTTGTTTCTGTTGCATTGAGCGATACCGAGATTATGGTCAAATGGAATCCACCGGAGTATCCAAACGGTCCTATCGGTTACTACATGATATCCGCTTCATTAAAACAAGACGACGCAAAATTTCTTTCATCCAGAGATTACTGCAAATACGGCTTGATAAATGAACCTGAAGTAGAAGAAATACAAGAAGTTACTAAAATACCATTACAACCAATCGCTCCTCCTACCTCTTGCTGTTTCAAAGATGAATTTACTACATTGTCAACTTCAAAAAAGTTCCAGATGCTATTGTGTAATAAAAATTTCGGGATAAGTTCTTTAAATGCTGGCTGGAAAGATTCTTGCGTTTTCAATCGATACAATTCAGTGTACGATTTCAAATACAAATCGGAAAATAAAGTGAATATTATCAACAATGAATTAATTTATAACGTTAGCGCTGGAAATAATTCATTTCATTTGAAATATCTAAAACACTTTTCTTTATATACTATATCTGTTGCTGCTTGCGGAGTTAAACTTCGAGACGATGAGCATATGTGTTCGTCTGTGGAATACACGAACATTCGAACGAAAAAACGGGAGATGGCCGATAATGTTAGCAATGTTAAAACTCACATGATCAACAGTTCAATAGTCGTGGTTTCTTGGGATACCGTTAGAAATCCCAATGCACTCACTGTAAGTTATACGATAGAATATACGAATTTGAATGTCAAAGATGCAAAGAAAAGTACCGAGTGTATACCATACGTTGGACGTTACGAGGATCGTAAAATTTACTACATTAAGAATTTAAGTCCTGGTCTATACGGTCTACGAATACGTTCTACTTCATTAGCCGGCAGTGGTAATTTTTCCGAGATGGTTCGTTTTAACATCGAATTCATTGATGATAATAGAGTACTAGTGATACCCTTGGCAATCTTTGGATTTTTCAGCGTGGTTGCTATAATTGGATATTGTTACTTGAGATATCGTCGAAAGAAGAATACTCAAGCAAGATTGATAGCCTGTGTAAATCCTGATTACATAGAAACCAAATATATCCTTGACAGTTGGGAGGTACCTAGAGAAAGCGTCAAGATCTTGGAAGAACTTGGTAATGGTAATTTCGGTATGGTATGCCGTGGTCTTTTGGGAAACGAGGAGGTAGCGATCAAGACGATCTCTGCGGCATGCAGCGAGCGTGAGAAGAACGAGTTCTTAAATGAGGCCTCGGTTATGAAGAATTTCTCTACCTTTCACGTAATCAAATTATTAGGAGTCGTTAGCTTAGGTTCTCCGCCGTACGTCATAATGGAACTCATGGAAAACGGAGATTTGAAGACTTATTTGCGACGCATACGAGACACCGATTTAATTCCAGATACCTCGAGGATAATAAGAATGGCGGCTGAGATTGCGGACGGCATGTCTTTTTTGGAATCGAAGAAGTTCGTTCATCGTGACTTGGCTGCTAGAAATTGTATGATCTCGAAGGATTTGGTTTGTAAGATTGGAGATTTTGGAATGGCCAGAGACGTCTACGAGACCGATTATTATAAAATCGGAAAGAAGGGCCTTTTGCCAATTAGATGGATGGCACCTGAGAATCTTTCGGATGGCGTTTTCACATCCGACTCGGACGTTTGGTCATTCGGTGTTGTACTCTACGAGATACTTTCTCTCGCTGAGATACCCTATCAAGGATTTTCTAACGATGAAGTATTAAATTACGTGCTTCACAAAGGTGTTCTTAGTGTACCGAAAAACTGTCCTATTAATATACAAAAAATAATGGAAAAGTGTTTCAAATGGCGACCGAGCGATCGTCCAACGTTCATGGAAATCGTAGGGGAATTGGAACCATTTTTGGCCCAAGACTTTTGTGAAAAATCCTTTTATCACTCAAGCGAGGGTATACATATGCGTAATCTTGGAATAAAGAAGGCCTTTCATCAAGCTGCACCGATACGTTTTCATTGGGGTAACGAGACTGCTAGATGGGTTCGAGAATTTGAGGACAATGTGACGCTTCTTGATCAGACTAGGGCTAGCACCAGTCGTGGCCGAATATTCAGGAGCGGTTTTCAACAGGTCGGTAATGTTCCACCTTTAGAGGAAGTTCCTCTAAATCGATAAAGTTTTTCTCTCGTTTTTCAAAGTCGCGTCTTATATATATAATAATAATAATAATAATGTCTTATTGTTGCCGTGTTTGGTCTCGCGCGTGCATGAATATGAATACGAAAGAACAACAACAACAAACAAAAGAAAAAAAGCGAAGAAGAAAAATGGTTAATGATTATGTACAAACATACACTCAGGGCAATATAATGGGACGAATAATTGGAAGAGGAAAAGAAAGGTAAATAATATTATATATATATATTGAAAACGTGAATTACGCRAAATCGTAATTTTGAAGATTATTTACGTTCTCTTCCTCGGCGGGACCAGACGCGAATCCTCTTCTAATATCGTCGCGAAACGAAGAAAGACTTAAATAGGACTATTAGTTTAGATAACATACCTACAAGTTAATAACGCATATCGCCTATTCTTTCTTCTATGGAAGTCACGGTTCATGGACCTACAAATATATGTATTTAGGATAAATCCACTTTTTTTAATGTGTTTCATTTTCTTTTTCTACTTTTTTTTTCTTTTTTTTTTTTTTTGTTTCTTAAGCGCAACCAAATGTTCGACAAGCCTTTTTTTAATCATTCATTCCTAGAAAGAAAGAAAGATTAGTTTTAGCGAGTCTCTAGAACTTGATGAAAGAGTATTTTAGTCGAAGTATCATTGTCTTACCACAGAGTTCCTTCTCGCATACATACCCTTATATACACGGGCATGCATTAATTCATAGTTTTCACGCAGATTCTATATATAAATATATATTATTATTACATAATTACATACATACCCACATTAAAACTTAATGCACTAACAATAAGCAATCGATGCAAATCAATAGATCATTTAGTCTGAATTAGAAAAAAGAAAAAAAAAGACGATTTTCCATTAACAAGTATATAAACATACATATTCATGGTGACCCATAAGTAAGTTGACAAAAATGCATTATGTTATTATTGCTAAGAAATTTGATTTGGAAAATGTCAAGGCATATACAGGTGAACATTTAATAAAACAATTCTGTATGTGCCTTTGATTCTTTTAATGTTGACCTTGAAGGATAAAATATAGGCCTATATACAAGTGAATTATTCCATGTTCAACTATTTCTACATTATTTACCAATTGATTTATGGGTTAAACTGTGTATTTAGTAAACACACATACATACATATTCATTGCAATAAGTATGCTCGTGATTGTTGCAATAATCATATTAGATATCATAGAACCGAATAAATAGATCAAATTGTAGTGGAAAAAAAAAATTGGAAAGATTTGAAAATGATACATCCGTGAAAAAAAAAAAAAGAAGTTTATATGCATGGAAAAGAAAAATTTATCATCGTTAATTAATAAAAAAAAAAGAAAAAAAAAAGAAAAAAAGAAAAAAACTCGCGTCGCATTAGACGATAATCAAATCTCTAATTTATAATATTTAAGTACACGACATATATTTATGATGAATTTAAATAACTCGAATGAATGAAAGAGAGAGAGAAAAAAGTTAAAAAAAAAAAATAATAATAATAGATCTAATCAAAATCGTTGCACGAATAGTATTCCATGTAGAACATTAATATATCGTTTCTACGTATTTTTTTACATCACCTTATCGATAGTTCACAGCAATACATGATTAGAAAAAAAAAAAGCAAAGAGAGAGAGAGAGAGAGAGAGAGAAATAAAAAGAGTGTTGTGTTGCGTGATTAGTATACTTGTATGTATGTATGTATGTATGAGTTAGAAAGAGAGAGAGAGAGAGAGAAAGAATGAAAGAATAATATAACACAAAGGAAAGTAAATAATCTAACACAGTTTTGCACGAATTAACCAAATCGACATATTTCATCAAGCAATACATCAGAGCAATTTCATTTTTCTTTTTTTTTTTTTTTTTAATTTTAAATCGCTAATAGCAATATATCGATAAACTCGATAATAATCGATTTTAGTAATTCGCTATCGCTAAAGGAAAAGGACAAAAAAAAAATAAACAAAGATAAAAATATCTATATTAAATATTTATATATTCGAAAAGAAGCTTTCTAGAAGGAAAGAAAAAGAAAATAAAATAAGACAGGACGCGGAAATAGGAATAAAAAAAAAAAAAAAAAAAAANCATTTTGTTATCGTCATTTTCAACGAAAATCCCACTACAATATTCTCTAAATCTACACAGGCGTGTATGATTTGTTTTTTTTTTTTTTTTTTTTACGCGAATAGAATTCTGTCGAGCTTTATATATGAAAAATCTCGTAAAAAAAAAAAAAAAAATATAAGAAAGAAGAAATGTTGAACTTATTCCGTCATTTTGTTATCGTCATTTTCAACGAAAATCCCACTACAATATTCTCTAAATCTACACAGGCGTGTATGATTTGTTTTTTTTTTTTTTTTTTTTAATCTTTCAGAAACGCCCATACGTAAATTCTCGATAAAAAAAAAAAATTAAAAAAAGAAAAAAAACATGTTTTACAAATTTTCGTTTCCGCAATAAGCAAATTAGAGGAAGAGAATAGACATGGTGAGAAAATTCTCGCGCCGTTTTATATGTTATATACATAGGTATATAAAACGTATGCACATATACTTATTATTTACATACCTATTGAAAAACAAAAATAAAAATAATAAAAAATAAATAGAAAAGTAACGTGTATTGTAATAACGGTATGAAATATATTCCGTTGTTTATAAATTATACAATGAAAGTATAATTTAATGCATCTTGCCAATTTTAGCAAGAGCTTTATAAAATAATAATTTGACATTTCAATTATTGCATTATGTTCTTGCCTATTTGCCGTGCTATAAATATTGGATCGTTTGGACAAAATTCTCTTAACGAATTATTATTATTTATTTTTCGTATTTATTTATTTCTTCTTTTTTTTTTTTTATTTAACAATAAAGTTTTGATATTATTGAATTTTTCATTAAACAATTTATTAATCCTTTCAGTGCTGAATACTTTTAATTAAAATGTTTCGTAGAAACGGAATAATTTATTAATAATAAATTATATTTAATAATTAAAGTTTTTCTTTCTGTGAATATAATTTAATTAATTAATATAAACACATATTACATTATTTTACATTAATATTAACAAACACGATACAAAACGAACGATAAGGTTAGTAATTTTTAGTAAACGCATATATGCGTCCATAGCACTCTAAGGGTTAATGAACTTTCTGAACGATCCAATTGTCTTGTTTTTTTTTTTTTTTTTTTTTTTAATTTATTTTATTTTTTTATTGTCCACCCCCTTCACCTCAAGGAGTTTTTTTCGAATCTCAAAACGCCACTTATAACAACGTTTCTCTTTTTGTTTTTGTTTTTTTGTTTTATCATGACGTATACATGTAGAATATATTATAATAACCCCCAAACGCGTATAATAATAAATAATAATTCTATATTCGCGAATAAAAATGATCCTTCCAATATAAGAATCTAATTTTCATTTGGAATATGTATGAAACATCAAATACCGAATTCAACATGTCGTAATGCTACGACCAAAGAAAAAGACTCATTATTAAAATCGATTTTAACAATTTAAAATAATAAAAAAAAAACAATCACATATACATACACATATATACAGGCAACTAGTCATTTGTGGTATAGCAAAAGTGTTAAACGAAATACATTTATTAAAAATTATATAATAATCGCTAAATTAAATTAAATTAAACAATAAATAAATAATTATCAATTAAAAAAAAAAATGGAGAACGAGAATCGCGAATCGAGACCTTTCTTTTTATTTTGTAAACTTCAAAAAGTAATATTATCAAAAAGATAAATAATTGCAAATTGATTTAAATATATCTGTATACTATTCGGATGATTTTTGATGATCATACGGTGAATGACGTTCTTTTCTATCGTAATCGAATTGATTTTATAGAATTAGAGGACACAAATTAATGATGATGATGATGATAATTATAAAAAAAAATAAGCTAAAGGATTTAACTTCGTGAATTACGACGATACGTTATAAGATTTTCAAGGATATCGGCGTTGGCAAACAGCCATTACGGTATTCTTTGTTTGTTTGTTCATTCGTTCGTTCGTTCGTTCGTTCGTTCGTTTGCGAATCATGAGACTAGTATAAATGTTTTGAACTACAAAGAAATCCTATTACGAGGTCACAAAATAACTGTTCTCAATAATTAATAATGTTTCGTGTTGGAAAATAAAACAAAATAAATAAAAATAAAGAACGGGGGGAGGAGGAGCTGGGAAATATACGGATATTAAAATATGCAAAACAAACACACAACAAAATAAAATGAAATCGCGTTTGGTTTAATGGAAATTAAATTCGCGATCGAAATAATTAAACAAAGATCGTGAAATATTTTTTTTTCTGTTTCTTTTTTTTTTTCTTTTCTTACTTTGCTTTAAACAAAGTATACGTTTTCATAGGATTAATAAACGATATTATTTGATATCAAATGGTCGGACTATAAGGAAAGAAAACAGTATCGGTTTTTATTTACTTGGCATTCCGGGTTATAGCCAAGATTTAGATTTAAAGTTAATTATTTTGTGAATTGTTTAAATTCATATTTTTGTGTGTGTATGTATATATATATGTATATAAAACAGGGCAACACTTAACGAATTTCAAATGATTTTGAGAGATCGAGTCAATAAAAAAAAATGCATCCATCCTATTATAAAATACTTACGTAGGTCTAATACTTAAACACTTAAGTGACATTAAATTAAATGAATGAATTAATTATATTAAGTTTTTTCGCGTACAAGAAGAATAATAGGTTAATTTAATATCATTTATTTTTATTATTATTATTATTATTATTATTATTATTATTATTATTATTATTATTATATACATATATAATTTAACAAATATTTATTTGAGAATCATAGTTGTATACTTGCAGTGAACTCGATCGTAGCAACATTTTTGTTCTTTTTTTTTTTTTTATTCTTTTTTCCTTCAGATCTTGGAGACAAGTCTTACTTAATGTTAATCTAATGTAACATTTATATTTAAAAACGGTAAAAGCCGTATTACTACCTACTATAATATCTACTTTAAAGAACTGGATTTTCCGATTTTCGTTGCATAATATTCTTAAACAATGCTTCTAGGCATTCTTATTTTCGCGTTAAACGCAAAATGGATACGATCGTAACTATAATTATATTTGACATATCGATCGTATCGATGTATGCAGAATATATTTAAGATTATATGGTAATACGAATATAAGAAAAAAAAGAAAAGAAAATAATAAAAAAATAAGAGAAACTAGATATATATATATACACGTACACTACATACGTGGAAAGTATCGTAATCGTTTAAAAACGACGTACTTGATGACTGAAAAATAATTTTTAATATAGTTTTAAATTAATCGTTCGATTAATAAATTTGTATATATTAAACATTACGAATATACAAGGTGATATCAATAAATCTATTCACCTTGAATAACTCCGTTATATTGGTAATGATAATATGAAAAAAGAATGTTAGCTACAGAAATTGCATGGCATAGAAGAAAAATGGGGAGAGGGGGAGGAGGTAATATTATGATGCTAAGTTTTTTATTGCGTGGGTGGAGTCGTGAAAAAAGGTTTCGATGTGATTTTCGTTGTTTTTTATACTGATAATAGAATATTTTAATTTTTATTGCATTTTCACGAGAGTGAATATTTTCTCGTGCATTTTCGATTAAATAGAAATTGGTTTTGAAGTCTTTTGATACAATTTTTTTTGTACTTGTCGATAAAACTATACGTCACAGGGTTGAGATAAAAAGATGTACATATTGAAAGAATTATTTTTAAGCACACACAAATACAGACACACTATTTGAATCCAATCAAAAATTATTTTTACATTGTAAGATTCTTCTGAACCCTTCTACTCCACCTCCTCAGGAAAACACTATCAATAAAAACTTTTCTATGATGATGTATGAAAGTAAAAACTGTGTTTTCAAATGTCTGTTAAAAGCTGTGCCGTAAGCTTGCCAAATTCCGAGCTTACGAAAACAACGTTGTTATAAAATCACTTGTTAATACTAGCAATGAATTCTTGCACCCTTAGAACCATAGATTCCTGTTGATTTTTGTAGATATAGAAAAACAAGTAATAATTATGAATAATCTTATTCGTATCATGACTTTTCACGAGATGATCGTTATTGAATTCTTCTTTACCAGCGTAATATCATTTTGATTGATACCGATATCCTGTTTTGTTAATATTTATTACAAAATCCATTCCCTCCGATGAGGGATGATCGAACGCGTTTATAAATGAAATTTGTCAGCAGGTTCTAACGTTTCTTCTAACGATGCAAATCATTTTTCATTGATAAATCTCGACAGGGAATAAAATCTTTAATAAAGTGACACGTAAGATTCCTCCAGGCCAATTCCTAGGAGTTTTGTTGGATTTGTACCAACTAAAAAAGTCCTTGTATACAAGGTCATCTTCCATTGCTGTAAATGAGGATTGTGATGAAGACCGTGGTTTCTTTTGATTGGTTTGCTAGCACTAACCATCCCCTTTCCCTTCTCAGTTCTTCCCACGATGTGCATGGACACAACCTTGACATTTTCTGCAACAAATTCCCCCTCCATTCGTACACCTCGTACCCCCAATTCGTTTAAAATTCTAAAAACTGTTTTATTGATTGCTTTCATTTGTTTGAATCAAAAGTTTCGATTTTTTTGATGCCCCATAGATTCAAAATTAATGCAACACACACCACACATCAGATCAACAATTGTCATTAGAAAATTAATACAAAATCATATCATTCCATTAAAAAAAAAAAACTAATGTGATCTTCATATCTCCAAAACAACTCCACCTAGGCTAAAAAAAAATCAAATAAACGTCATACTTACGGCTCCTTGTTGTTGTCCCCCATGCAACTTCTGTTTGAGAACAATTTTTCTGCTAAACAATCATATAATTCCTGAGTTATTCTAACAATGAGACATTACAATTAACTCTTAACCGATTTTGATCTTTTTTTTTTTTTTTTATTAATTTTGGCTTCTTCCATAAAAAGAACAAAAACTTTTGAAAGAAGTTTTTCAAATACAGTTAATACTCATATTGTGCTGTATAACTGTGTTGTAACTTTATTGAAGTCATTAAAAAAAATATATATTCACAATTTTATCTCAAAAACTCAAAAACCTGTGTTAATAAAAATGTCAAGATAGAAATTTGAAATTATTTTCTTCCCTCTTAAACTTCTCCCCTTGTATTTTTAAAAAGAAATATTTGGTAGTTGTTGTTCTTCTACTCCTAAATTAATGTTTAATCCTAACGGAGACCCTTACAAAACTGTGTTATAAAGTTTTCAAAATATCTGAGACAAGAAGATTGTACACAATCCTTGTTAATTCTTCTAGTTTCTTTATTCCATTCCCATCTCCCACACCTGCTTATCCATTTGTACATAATAAATAATTATTTCATGAATATGTAAAATGTGGAATTAAACAAAAAAGGGTAGGTTCTCACTGATTGATTCATATTTGATCAAAAACTTTAGCAGAACTTATATTATATTTTTTTGATAAATTCGTCACATAGAAAAAGATCAAAATCGGTAAAAAATGAACTGTAAATGTTTCCTTGTAAATGGTAATAGTTATTGATTCATCCTGTATAATATAGATATATTAATATATTACTTAAAAAAAATAGTAGTAGAGTCTGTCCCAATTTCCAGAATTACACTCTGTATATATAATATAGATATTTACATAGATTAAAAATAGAATTTAAGATTTTCTCAATTTCAATTAAATTATTTTCTTTTTATCTATAATTATATAATTTAATCAATTAATTATTTACATAATAGATAGTGGGACAGCAAGTTATTATATAAAATGATATACCAGAAAACGCTTAAAAGTGCAGTCTGATTATACAATCCAATTTCGATTGTCCAAAGTATTTTTCCAATGAAGTTCATTCTTCTTATATTTTATTTTTTGTTTGTTTTTTTTTTTTTTATTTTCATTTTTTTTTTCCTTTATCCAATTACATGGTAACAAATAATAATGGGGTACCAAATAAAAACATGCTCTATAAATGTACGATTAGGCATATTTAATAATAATCATTGATTATTTCATTCGTATTTCACGATACCAATTTTATTACTGCGATTAAACGTAAAACATAAATCATATTTTTCTAAACAATTGTTTGCGAAAGTTTATACTCGTTTATTTGTGCAATCAAATAATCGAAATATTTCATACAAAATTAATTCTCGTTTATATTTATCATTACATTTTCCAAATGCTTCCAATAATAATCTTCATTGTTTTTTTTTTTTTTTTTTCATATACATATACACGAACAAAAATTATTTATTTAATTATGAAAATAAAATTCTGTATTTGTCTTTTGATTTTTTTTTTTTTCTTTTTTTCCACTTTTTCTATCGTAACACTTACTATGTTCGATAATACTCGCTCAGGAAGCTTGTTATTATTTTAATCATTTTAATCAAGTTCTTTTTTTCTTTTTTTTATATCAATCTGTTTTATCCTTGGAAGACAAAAAAAAGTCAAAGCGTTTCCCACGCTATATATCTCTCTACGTATGTATATATAATAAAAATAATAATAAAAATATATAAACCTATATCTATATATATATATATATACTATATGTATACGTGCAAAGCATCGTTGCTCCTCTCCAAGATGGAAGAGGAAAAACGTGTCAGCAAAAAAATATTTATTCGAAAAATTACAAAATTCGATTTAAAAAAAAAAAAGAAAACAAATTATAACGATAGAAATAGAAAGAAAGAAAGAAAGAAAAAAAAAAATAAAAGCAAGAAATATCGTTTACGAAAAAAAAAAA